ATGTATAACACATGACATTAATTACTACACGTCTAGCATGTAGTAAGTGCTATAGAAACATTTATTTCTTTCCCTTCCCTTGTTCCTTGGTTCTACCTTCAGCCAGTGACAGGAGGGCATTTGCTTTGTTTATCACATATTCTCATTCTGGCTACCAGTTGCATTCCATGGCTTCATCTCATGACCTTTCCATCTGAGAACCTTCATATCAGGTCTGAGCTGCCATCCTTACTCTCTGGATGTCTCTCCCTTATGGTTCTATCTATGTTGTCCTCTCACTGCTCTGGGTCCTCTAACCCTCTAAGACTATACGTTTCAGAAAAGATGCCAACTTATATTAATGCAGGGAGTTTTCTCGTCTAAGAGTTCTTTATATGAATGAAATCACAGGTCCAGTCTCCTGTGAATCAGTCTGCAACCAGCTATGATGGATGTTATCTGATGAGACAATAGAGTAGAGATCATAGTATCTTAGATTTAGGTCTCAAAGGACCTCAGGTCACTTAATTCAACCCTACCTTAAATGAATGAATGAATTAGTCAATGAATGAATGAATAAGAAACCTAAGTGATTTGCCCAGCTGGATTCACACAACTACAACAGTATTTTAAGCCCAGGTCTTCCTGACTCCAAGTCTGTCATTCTATCCATTGGCCATGCTGTGTCTCAGATATTTTAGGGGAATATTTCCCAATATTCAATCTTAATTGAGAGCAAGTGCAAGTCCTTTTTTAGCACAATCACTGCCAACCATCTTAATGTAACTGAACTACAAAAGGAAAACATCCTAGGGTCCGTGTTTGTGTAAAAGAAGCATGGGGCTCCAGGCGCCCCCCTTCAGCCTCAGCTCCCACGTGGTCCTCTTCATCTTTTCTGAAGTGTGGAAATAGGGCTTCTGTGTATTTGTGCTAAAAGGGCAAGACCTAAAAAGGGGCTATTGCAACTTGAAAATTGGATCTTGGCAGTCTTTGAAAATCTAAGGTTTCTCTCATAAGTGTCAGTGTTTGAAATGTTAAGTCCTTTGAGACTTGGGGTTACCTTGGAGACATGAATGAAGCAGAGTTTTACTATTGCTGTAGTATTTTTTCATCCTGCCAGACACTCTGTGCTCTTAAAAAATGTATAGTTTCTTGATTCTTATAGATTACAGATGTTGTGTGGTGAATAGCACAAGATATTTTGAGCACCTTTATTAGTCCCCAGTCATCGAGGGATGTTAACTACATGGTATAGAATCAATAGGTTGCCTATAGCTCTACCTTGTTAGACCTCGTAAACTATTCAGGATCGGCACTGGCCAGAATATGGATGAGAAATCACCCATGAAGTGCCAAAGGAAGTGATGCAGATGAATAGAAATCTTCTGAGGGAATGTTTTTGTCTAGAGCTTATTCAAATCCACTGCCCGTGCTACACCTTCGGCTCAGATACCATAGCAGCCTTCTGATCACCCAGCTGTCTCCAACTTGGCAGCTTGGTATAGTAGAAGGGGACAGTGGAGGTTGACATGGGTATGCTGGATTTAGTCCTGATTCTTGTCCTATCTGTCTGATCACTCCTACTTAGTAGATCTTTGCTGGATCTTCATCTGGGTCATGCCTGTTAACTATGAGTGTCTCCCAACATTCTGTCCTAGCCATTTTCTCTTCTTCTATATTGTTTTACTTGGTAGCCTCATCAGTCTCCATGGTTTCAATTATCATCTCAATGCAAATGATATTCAGATTTATTTGTCTGGTTTCAACTTTTCTCTTAACCTCCTGTCTTGCAACTCCTACTGTTTATTAGGCATTTCAGACTGGATTCTTACAGACATCTTAAATTCTTGTGTCCAAAACTAGCTCATTATCTTTACCCCAAAACCCTCCCCCTCCAAACTTCCCTATTATTGTCAAAGGTAGGATATGGTTGACCCTCATCACCTCACGGCCTGGACTATTGCAACAATCCTAGTGGCTGGTATTTCTGCCTCAAGTCTCTTTCCCATTCCAGCTGTCAAACACTCAGCTGTCAAACTGATCTTTCTAAAGCACAAGAATGACTATGTCACCTCCTACTCAGTCAACCGTATTATCTCCAGGATCAAATATAAAATCCTCTGTTTGACTTTTAAAGCCCTCTATAACTTGCATCCTTCCTACCTTTCTGGTTTTCTTACTCCTTACCCTTACCATGTACTCTGTGATCCAGTCACTGGCCTCCTTTCTGGTCTTCAAATTAGACATTCCGTCTCCTCACTCCAGGCATTTTCACTGGCTGTCCTGCATGCCTGGAACTGAACTCTATCTAGCCTAGAATTTTCTTCTTCCTCATTTCCACCTTCTGGATTCCTTCAAATCCCATCAGAAATCCCACCTTCTGCCAGGAGCCTTTCCTGATTCCCTTTTAATTCTTTTTGTTGGTTATCTCTAATTTATCTTGTATATATCTTGTTTTCATGTTGTATCCCCCACTATATTGTGAACTTGTTGATGCAGGGACTGTCTTTTACCTTTTGTTTGTGTCTATAGCACTTAGCATAGTGCCAGGCACATAGTAGGTGCTTCAATAATATTTATTAACCGACTAACTTACTGCAAGTTCTAGCTTTTTAATTTATTACCCAATCAGAGAGGTAGGGTGGTTTAGTGTAAAGAGTACTGGCTTCAGAGTCAGAGGATTTGGATTCAAATTTTGACTATGATGCTCATTTATCTCTGTGACTTTCAAATCACTTAGCCTCAATAGGCCTCTTTTTCACATTTACAAAATGAGGGGGTTGGACTAGTTAAGTTCTGATTTCCCTGTAGTTTCTGTATTGATGATTCTTTGTGAACTTCACCTGCGAGCCAGAGCTTTGGGCATCTCTCTTATAGCCTCATCCATCTCTTCTTGTCCCCCTGTTAGAGTATCCAACTACTGGTTCTATTAGGGATGGTGGGTCCAACTGTCATCAAGACAAAAAACAATGTGGATGTCCCAACACACTAACAACTAAGAGTATGGGACATCCATGCCAGGAGAGGATCCTTCCTGCTTCTTCTCTCCCCATCACTTAGTCTAGACCATAACAAGCATAAGACTTTGGAATGAGTGGTAACAGCTGATAGGGAGCAGCACAGATAAAAGCAAAAAAGTGATAGGAGGCCTGAACTTGGAGAAAGGAGCAATGGTTGCTTGGGTATTGAGGAATGGATACATACCTATGGCTTCTCATTCCTTGTGTACTAGCCACCATACAGGCTGTACCCTTGGCATGACTAATTATGTAATTCAGATTTCTCTGTACCCTCTGTCTTCAGGTAGATAGAATATCTTTTGCTTCTTAAATTGTTTAGTGTGTGTGTATATGTGTCTGTATGCAACTAAGTGATGTAGTATGTAGAGTGTTGGGCCTGAAGTCAGAAAGACTCATTTTCCTGAGTCCAAGCCTTAGATACTTAATAGCTTTGTCACTCTGGTCAAGTCACTTAGCCCTGTTTGTCTGTTTCCTTATCTATAAAATAAGCTGGAGAAGGAAATTGAAAACCACTCCAGTGCATTTTCCAAGAAAACCCTAAATGGGATCACAAAGAGTCAGACACAACTGAAAGGACTGAACAATAACAATAACAAATCTCTCTCTCTAAATATATATATATATATATATATATACACACACACACACACACACACACACATATATATATATACATACATACCTATCAATTCATCAATCTAGCAGCTCTTGATGAGAAAAATCTCCCACAATGCAGTTAAGCAACTTCTCTGCAATTTTTATAGTTTTAAAAAGGTGCCTGGGGTACTGAAAGGGTAAGAGATGTTCCCAGAGTCACTCAGTTAAGAATTATCAAGGGCAGAGCTTGAACCTTGGGTTTTCCTAATTCTGAAGCCAGATGTCTAGCCTATCTAAATCATCCTGTCTTTCAATAGTGTTGTATATTTCATTCAAAAAAAATTCATCACTGTTTCAGCAGTTAGTTAAATGCTCTCCCTATACAATATAAGCTCAAAGTTTGTTGAGTACTTTAAGATTGATATAGATATACATATATATACATATATATGCATATATACACACATATTCATTCAATAAACATTTATTAAGCACCTACTATGCACCAGGCACTGTGCTAAGTGCTGAGGATACAAAAAGAGGCAAAAGAAAGTCCCTGCCCTCAAGGAGCTTGCAGTCTAATGGATAGTACGTGTGTGTGTGTGCATGTGTGTGTGTGTATATACACACATATATATTGCATGTGTGTATGTAGTATATGTATACATATGTATATTGTGTATAAAACATTAAACTTTGTGTATAAAACATGTATGTGTACAAAAATTCTGTGTATGAGACAGAAAGAGAAAGCAAATAAAAGAGATACTATATAAAACTTGGTCATTTTTCAATACCTTCCTCTTGTACAGTACCAGAGTTGTCATTTTCTTTAAAGAGATTACTCTAGGGTCCCCTATAATGTAATGTTTAAGGGAACTCAAAGTCTGGCAACATGAAAGGTTTTGGTTTGGTTTTGGTGAGATTTTCTCCTTTGTTCTGCTTTTTCAAAAACAATAATAAACACAGAGATTTAACTCAAGTTTGAGTAAACCAAGCCTCCAAACACACAACCTACTATCCTTTTCAAAAATACAGTTGCATTAATCGAATTGGATGCCACCCAAAGGATATTAATGGAGAAATGGCTTTCTATGCTAGTCAGGTATGTTCTCTCTTCAAAGTTGTTTGGGGGCTAGTATGCAAGTCTCAGTTGAGTGATTTTGACAGGCCTAGAGTAATGTGGTTAATTTGCTGATGTCCCCTGTTCCAGGAGTGTGTTCTTAGGATTCTCAAAGCTAAAAAGGTCCATGGCTGCACAGGACAGCTGAGCTAGGACATCAGGGAAAAAACTCTTCTGGTAGGCTGCCTGGCCTTTGATCATTCTCCTTTGGGAAAACTCATACTCTGAACTCAAGAATTCTTACTTTTTTTTCTTCTTTTGCTTCTGTTATCTAATTCCAGGACTCTTCTTCAGCTGGATCTGCTACGGTGGCTGGGCCCCGGACAAGTGCAGTTGTTGGAGAACAGGGAACATCCCCAAAGGTCCAGCTGCCCCTCAATATGTAAGCTACTGTTTTATGTGGATTCTCACCCCCACCCCCCAATCCTGTGCTTTTGTTAAGGTGTTTTAGTGATTTTTCATTATCAATATGCCTTGAAATGTAGTTCTTTCTAAGCCAGGGTTAGCTGGACGGAAAACATGAACAAGAGGCCAGGGCAAGGGTGGGAAGGAACAGGTGAGTTCAGAATTGTTTGAGGGCACATACAAATTAATGAGGTAATACCTAACTTTTATATTTTTTACTTTTAGGTTTTATAGTTTATACTAAAGTTTGCACATTACTTTACATATATGGTATTTCGTTTGGTCACAGATCTATTTCAGTATTTAAGTACAAAACAGAACGTGATAGTGAAAAGCACCCTAGAGAATTAAGGAGACCTGAATTCATAGGATCATAGATCTATCAGTCAGTAAACATTTATTAAGTGCCTACTATGTGCCAGGCACTGTGCTAAGCACTGGGGATACAACGAAGGTCAAAAGATAGCCTCTGCTCTAAAGAACTCATAATCTAATAAGGGATACAATATGAAAACAACTATGTATAGACAAGCTTATACATATGATAAATTGGAAATAATCAACAGAGGAAGGCACTAGAATTAAGAGAGATCAGGAAAGGGTTACCTTCTGGTAGAACGTGGGATTCTAAGGGACTTGAAAGAAGCCAAGGTTGTCATGATGTTAAGATAAAGAGGAAGAACATTCCAGGCATGAGGGACAGCCAGTGAAAATCTAGATTTAGAGGCAGAAGGGGACCTCAGAGACCATCTCCTGGGCTATTCAGATGGTCAATAGTCAAGATTTTTTCAGTTTGGGGTAGCCTGTCACTACCCAAATGAGGAAACTGAGGACCAGAAAGGTTGTAACTTGATCAAGGTCACACAGGTAGTGGCAGTATTTGAACTCAGCACCTCTGACTTTCTGTCTCTGCCCTGCCACTAAATGGCTATGAAAATTACTAAATTTCTCTGGTTTTCCATTTCTTCATCTGTAAAATGGTAAAACAAGGACATTAGGTTTAGATGACTCCTCCAAGGTCCCTTCCATTTCTGAGATTTCTAAGATACTAAAGGATATTTATAAGCAGATGAATCATTGCCAGGAAGTGAAGGTGGCAGAGGTGTCTGTCTCACTTAGCAAATTCTGTTCTAAATTACAGCTCTTATAAAGGCACCCATAGTTAAAAAGCACATTCTTTAAAAGGGCATGCTCTCACACTTTAGATTATCTTGCTGCCCATCTCTTTTAGAAATAACTGGGTTTTTGAATGAATGTTTAAGACAATGCATTTGCTAGACATGACTGGCAATGGCAGAAAGGAAAGTAGATCTGGAGGAGGCACTAAATGAGGTTTTCATTAGAGATATGAAGGACCCGTGTCATTACAAAACCCAGCTTGTATAAACAAAAAAAAATCTCCTAGATCATGTCCACATTTTTAAAAATTTACTAATTTCAAAAGCCTTTCTAGAAATGGCCCGATTAATTTAATCCACGTGTATAACCACATACACATCCCTTTAAGATTCATGTGGTGAAATATTTGGCTTACATTGATGGATCATCTGTTTCAATTATCTGTTACCACAACCAACAAAACCAAAAAAAAAGAGATTATTTATTCTTTGAGGTTCCCTGAGTATAGTGAGAACATAAGAGATCTGTAGGAAAAATTCCAAATTTTAGGTTAAGAATTGAGAATGAGATTCAAGCTTAGGGCTGATTGAAGAGTAGTCACATTTAATTTTGATCTCCTGGGTCAACCATCAGCAATTGTTCAGTACAGTTTAATTCACTTGACTTTAATTGTGGGTTCACAGTGTGCATGGCATAGGATTGAGATAGAGAGTAATAGGAGATGTGTTTTGCCTTCAGAGAGCTGGTTGGTTCTATTTCCCTATGTCTTTCAAACTGATAAATATCCACTACAAGTAATTAATCCCTTGAAACCTTTTCCCACATATGGGCAAGAATAACAATGACTAGGATGTGGCTAGAAGTACCCTAAAATTTGACACCCTCTTCTCCAGTCCAGATCTGGGTTGAGGAAGGATGTGAAGGGTTTTATCCCTGGTCTAGGTGTCACAATGTAAGCACCAAGAGCCCAAAACTTTAAGAGGTCATTTCTGTGCTTGGTAACTCAGTCAAAATCTCCTAGGTTATCTCCATATTTTCTGCCTTCTGGAAGTCTTTCCAGTTCCCAAGACTAAGCCAAACCAGAGCAGACTCCCCTTTCCATCTCCTCCCAGACTCTGTTTCCCTGTCCCATAGTACTGCAGACAAAAGTAGGTAGGTCTCATAAGCCATCTGAAGTCCAGAGCCACATGAAAAGGAAGCCAGTGTGGCTAACCAAAATGGCCTACTGTTTATGCACTGAGCTTTTTTTGTCCCTCATGTGCCAGATGCAATACTGGGCATTGAGGATACAAAAAGCAAAAATGAAGACAGTTCTACCTTCAAAGAGCTTCAAATTCTCCTGGGCTATTCAGACGGGCAATAATCAAGTTTTTTTTTTTTTTCAGTTTGGGATAACCCTGTCACTATCCAAGATATAAACTGCAACACAGGTTTAAAAGTCCAGTGCTCTATACCTGTGTTACTGAGCTTTGGACCCATGGCACTACAGATCCCAGTCAGATTTTTCTGCTTTTGGTTGTAGGGTCATCTGGTGAATTTCATTGTAATTTCTATAGTGGTAAAAGGAAACTCATGGGTCAAATTCTGCCCCCCAAAACAAAACATAAGTGGGAATTTTTTCCCCCAAGCTCAAGTATCTGGCCAAGGAGTTAAAAGGGAGGAAGCCTTACTTTCTGTTCAGTCCTGTATTTTGAGTTGTTCCCCTAATGCTGAATGCCTGTAGATGAGTGGTCGATAGCAATATTGACGAACGCCTCTAAAACATGACCTTTGAAATCACATCTCTATTTCATTCGTGGGGGATAAAATGATGACTTTGACCTTGGCAGCTTATCAAGTGAGAATTAGCGAGTTCTCCAACGTACTTGGATTCACTCCATAGCCCTTAGAATTTATAAGCCCTGTGTACACAAGTACTTTGTGTCTCATGGTTTTCCCTAAAATAGTGTCTAACAAAGACTAGAAATATAGCCTTTTAGGGAACAAATCAAAAAACATACTGGTAAAAAAAAAATAGTGTCTGTATATCAATCGCCAATAGCCTGATCATCAAAATGTCCCTTTGGGTTATATTTCACATCTCAAATAGAAAGAATTTTGGCCTGTTGAGTCAGGGATCCTGGTTTTGTATCCTGATCCTTTTGAGCTGTGTGACCAGGGGCAAAGTCCTTAATCTTCTCAAGCCTTAATATCTACATCCATAAAATGGAGATGATAATACTTATAATAGCTCCATCACAAGGTTGTTGGGAAGGACTCATTTTATAAGTTGTAGAAGCATTCCATGAGCTATTGTTATTATTATTTAACATCAAGGTCAATATTTGTGTAGTACGAAAGTACCTCTCTCCACATTACGCTGGTATAATTCTTGGTAGTTAATGAAGTGCCTGTACAGACATTATTTCATGTGATTCCCCATAAAGAATGTGTGAATTATGTAGAAAAAGTAATATTTACATAAGAGAATTTAGGTAACTACCCAAAGTAGTAGAGTTAGTATTGAAACTCGGGTCTCTAGACTCCAAGTGACTGTTGTTTCTACTAACCACTCTGATTAAATACAATTGACCAAATCTATGATTTCATTAGTAGAGTGAGTGAACTCCCAAGTGTTCAATTGAATAAACTCTCTCTACCAGTATAGACTAGTACATGCTCTGCAAATGACAGTTTGAGAAAGTTGCCTGGGGCCATTGAGAGGTTAAGTGACTTACCCAGGAGCACACAGCCAGTATGTGTCTATATGGGCCATTGGGTCATTGATCATATGGATCTTATTGTTATCCTGTTGCCTATGGAAATTACTTAAATTTTGTCCAGAGAGTCTCGACAAGAAGTCTACATGTCATCTTAGCAGATTCTCGGTTTTTGAATTAGGTTAGACATATCACATTTCTAGCTCAGAATATCCAAGATGAATAAATTAAATGCTAAAGATTAAAGATAGTGTAATCCAAGTCCTAATGCCCACTAGTATAAGCTTCTTTTTTCATTGGTGGAAATCAATTCCACCCTTTCCACATGCACAGGGCATTGATTTCCACCAAGGAAGAGAGAATCCCATCTTAGTGGGCTTTGGGACTTGGGACTTTGAGAGTCTGGTACATTAATTATAACTACAAGTGAATAGTCTATCAATAACTATGTGGTGGAGTAATGTCTTGACCGCATGAATTGCTATGGTACTAAACAACATATGATAGTGAAAGAATAGAATTAAAGAAAGAAACATGGATATAACCCATTGACTTATGTCAGCAGCTGATAAACTTCTTTGTGGTTTATAATGAGAAATGCTTGAGAAAGGAGAGCTAAGCCTGCTAGAGATGTCCTGTCTTCTAAAAAAAAAAAACCAAAAACAACAAACAAACTGATATGGTCCAATAGGAAGAGTATAACTGTCTCTGAAATCAGAGGACTGAAATCAAATCCCACCTCTTACATTTATTACCTATATGATCTTGGGCAAACCCCTTAATCTCTGTAGGCCTCAGTTTCCTTATCTGTAAAATGGGGTAGAGGGAGGGGGAGAGTAAATAGGTGGCCTGTGCAGTCTCTGAAGTCATCTGTGAATGTATCTTCTAGAGTGATTTCATCTCTGTCACCTGTTAACACTGCTGAAAAGCCTGTGACTACATAAGGTCCCCACTCAGAATTGCCTATTTTTCACCATACAGTGAGATTGAGCTAGTCACAAATATATATGGAATAATGACCAGTATCAGGACACCCCTGTCGCTATTGTCAAGTGCGCTAAAGCTGAGATGATGGCAAAAAAAAAAAAAAGGAAGAAAAGAAGCAGGCTACACTGGAAAGAACACTGGATTTGGAGCCAGGGTCCCAGCGTCCAAACCT